TGCCTTACTAGTAGTAACAATAAGCTATTAGGAACAAGTGCATCGCTTCTAGTAACAAGTGCCTTACTAGTAATAACAATAAGCTAATTGGTAGAGAATTCGCAAGGAGGCCACTTCGAAGAGGCGAAGACTGGTGAAACCATTCTGAAACCATGACGACTCGTTTGCTCCCTCCAGGCAGTTGTCCGCTCAAGTACGGGTACCTGGTGGAGTCAGCCAAGAATAGTTGAGACCGCCGTGGGAAAAGCAGAGCTGGAAAGAAATTGTTCAGGTGCTGTATTTGAAGACCCTAATGAGGTCCTAAATATCCTAATTTAATTCTTGAAATGGGTGTAGGGCTTGGCAGTAGGACCAAGTAGGAGCATGGCTGGCTTGTGAAACCAAATACAGTGGCAAGCTTGAGGCCCAAGTGCGGGTTCAGCAGGCTAGCACCGGAGAGGCATGCGCCAAGACCAGATACACGCGGGTCATGTCGAAAGGATTGGTGGAGGATGTTCAAAGGATGGCGATGGTGCCGTTTTGATGTGAAGCCTCAAAAGAGGATGCAGACTACCTGGCTCCTTATTACTATACTATATTATACTATATTATATTATGTTGTATTATATTATATTATACTATATTATATTATACTATAGTATAATATATATATATGAATATGCATATGTTGCAGTCTCAAAGCGCTACCATGGCATTATTGCAGAAAGGGAAGTGTCCATCTCTCCCAAAATGAAGAATCCAATGAATAGTGAATGAGAGATGCGGCAAATCTACCGGATCCATATTCGCCATAAAGAAAGCCAATGTTCCTGGAATCTTTGAGATTGAAGTCCAAGCATGAAAGTCCATGTGCTGAATTGTCTGCAAGCCAGGTGATTCCCGGTTCATGTCCCAGCTTTTCGCAGTTGGTGGAGCTGGCCGAAGCCTTTGCTCAACTGAAGTTTCAGGAGATGGAAGAGTCGGCGAGGGCAAATCACCACGATCAAACTTGAATATGTGAAAGGTTTTGAATGAACAGTAAAGAGTTGCTTTGGGCTGTTAATTGCTTTACTTGTACCTTAATGGTCAGGAGACATGCTTGTATATGTATTTAGATCATGTTGGATCTATATATTATATTATATGTTTGATCCACTGCTGTCATCCTTTGTCCATGGGATGACCCCTTTTCTTCCAAGCTGACAGAAAGATCAGAAAGTTCCTCAACAAAGGCTGTTTGCTCAAGTTGTAGTTTGTAGTGTAGGCCCTGCTGCCATTTAAAGATCTGTTGAAATCAAGTACGGCAAGGTTCCAAGCCTGTCTATTTGTACTCCGGCCTTGACTTCAATGCCAATCCTGCAGGACTATTCTTTCTTTGAGATGGTGTCCCTGCAGGCTGTCACAATGGGGAACAGTTGAGTTGCCAGTTTGAGCTGGGTGAAGCTTTAGAACAGAACCATTCAAGCATTAACTTGTGAAGGTGTTTTCCACGTGGCCAATATCCAACAACATGTCAAAAACAGAATGTTGACACTAGCAAAAAGACTCGTCCCACAGAGTGTGTTTGCGTGGTACTTACAGCCTCAAGTACACAAATCTGAATTTTGGTGGCTACACTTTCAAAGGTAGGTGCAAGAGCTCAGAGCCCAACACCCACCAGGCGGAAACCTTCTTGTTGCATGGCTATCCAGGACCCACGCCGCCGGCTTCTCAAGGGGATGTTACTTTTAGGGTCGTTCACAATGGTTCACCTTCACTAATCGAATTTGCTGAGCTAAATCTACTTGATTGAGCTGTGTTCGTTGGTGTTCATCAGTATTTGGAGATGCGGTAGGTAAAAAGTGAGCTGTTACGAGTGAGATGCAAATTGTTCAATGGTTTTTACTTCCCACTGGGGAACTTCCCACTTGCTTGATGTATATTACTTTGTATATTAGATAATCTTATATCATTTTAGATATATACATATACACAACTAGACCGCCATCATCATTTCGTCAAACATGCATTGGAGATCATGGTTTTTGGGAAGATGGTGTTCCTTGCGCAGGGTTTTTACCAATTGCTGCCATGTGTTCCAAAGGCTTTGCTTCATAGGTCTTTGCTTTGGCTTTAGTGATGTCCTTTAAGGCCAGCGCTCGCAGGGCTGTGCCAGGCGTGTGCTCGACTCAAGGCGGGGTTAGGGGAGCCATTTCTGTTTGTCATGGCTTGCAGTTCCCCATGTCGTTTTGGTGAACACACACACAGATATATATATATATATATATTAAAGGCTTACGCCTGACAGCCGGGCGCCGGCGTACTTGGGAAAGAGAGGTGTGGGTCGAGGTGACGGTAGGGGTCGCTCGCGGTGTTGGCGGGGTGTGGTGTCGGTAAGGGACCCGCCACGGTTTCACGGAGTCTTCCACGGAGAAGACGGGGGCCAGGGTTTGGGGCACCCCGGCAGCACCCGTCCGAGGGACGGGGGCAGTCATGCCCTGGTTGCTTGCAGCAACCAAAAGTCGGGAGAGCCGTCGGAGAGAGAGGAGGCACGTGGAGCGCGATGCATGCTGGGAGGCGGCAGCTGTCAGCTGGCAACAAGAGCGTCACTCATGCCAGCCAGCCACAGCCCTGGTGAGGAGAGGCAGACGTCATTCCACCCTCAAGGACATTGTCTGCAAGCTGATGCGCCAGCGAGGCCGGCGGGGGCGGAGAGGTTGGGGGTCGAGGCGTCGACGCCGCAAGGTGGAGACGTAGAGTGGCAAAGGACTTGGACAGCATGCTGCAGAGAGTAGTTACTGGCAAGACGTGTGTGAACAGAGCAAGAGCATGTGCAAGCCAGAAACAGCCTCCAACCCAAAGACACCAGAAGCAACCAGCGCTGAACTCCCAGAGTGATAGGATGGCAAAGAGTAGAGTGCAAGAGAAGCTAGGAGACGGCTAGGGTTAGAGAGCAACAGCAACCAAGCACACCTGACCTTTTTTTGCATTTTGTGTTCGGTTTCAGCGGGGGGGCGTGTGAGCAGGGCAGGAGCACGTGCAAAGCAGAGCAACAAAGCCCTCAACACCAAGACACCAGAAGCAACCAGCGTCGAAGTCTGAGAGTCAGAGGACGAAGCTAGGAGACCGCTAGCGTAGGAAAGCAAGAGCAACCAAGCACACTCGATCTTTTTTTTTCTCTCTCTGCTCTGGGTCGGCTGAAGCCATGGAGACCGGCGGCGCCGCGGTGCGCGCAGCCGACATACCGAGAGCGTCGCTTGTTGGTGGATTCGACGGGCTACGGTTGGTTGCCCGGGCAAAAGTTGGGAGACGCTGCGATGGATTTTCGCAAGTGTGGGGGCGTTGAGACGGTTGCGAGCATTGTTAGTGGGGGCAGCATTGTGAAGCCTGGCAAGAAGGATGGCACGAACATCCTCGAGGGGAAGAGACCCATGGAGGGGACGTGGAGGTGGAAGTGGGCGTGGTGCCAGCCCGCGACTCCGTGCGAGGGGCACGGTATGAGGCCCTCGGGGTCGCGCGGCTGGCATGTGGCGTCACGGAGTTGAGCAAGAGCATCTTGGAGATAGTCCCTGGTGCCTATGGAGAGGCCAAATCTGCCTGCCTCCGCGTCGGAGAGCATGGAGCAGGCAGTAGAGGCGGGGCGAGCCGAGCTGGAAGTGCGTCGAGCAGAGCGTCGCTCAGCCGGTGCTGAGGGAGCCCCCGCGTCAGAGCGTCGCTCAACCGGGGGCAGCGGGGCTTGGGTCGCCGTGGTGATCTGTGCCGGGTGGAACTGCAACGAGGTGGAGAATTTTCAGGAGGCATTTGTCGTGAAGCAGCTCTGCGAGACGCAGTCGTGGAGTGAGTTCCTTTGGGCCTGCTCGGCGCACTCTAGCAAGAAGCGGGCATGGGCCAAGACGGCACAGGCCTTGGACTTGGCGCCGCCGAAGTTGTTCCAGACGAACCGGGAGGATCACCCGCAGTCCTCGGGCCAGCGCGTCGCGCCGCCCACGGAGGTGCGAGATTTGTCGCAAGTCCCGCACCTCCTCCTCAGCATCGGACAAAGCCGCAAACATATCTTCCAGGGGAACATTTGGCACGCGTCCGCGAAGCATCCGCTCTTAGCCAGAGCGGTGGGACATGCGCTGGGCACGTCGCAGAGTCACCTGAGGCGATACCTGTTGTTCTGCGAGTTTTTGTGGGCAGAGCTGCGGCGCGACCTCGGCAAGGACCCAGTGCCAGGGTGGAACTTCTGCCCCACCCTTGGCCCCATCTACCTTTTCCAGGAGCAGATGGATGGGCAGGGGAAAGCCGAGCGCGACCGACGTGGGCGCACATGCTTGGGGGAGGAATTTCCCGTGGATGGTCACTTCATGTTCACCACTGGTGGCACAAGGTATGCCGCCACCCGGGCGTGGGGCTGGAAGAAAGGTTTCCTACCGGTCGCCCTGGGAGCCATCGCGACACAGCGGGCAGAAGCGCAGAGCGTAGCTCAGCCGGAGCCACAGCCTGGCAGTCTTGCCCCCGAAGCGCCGAGCGCGCCACCCGCGGAAGCGCCGAGCAGCAGCGCCGCGCCGAGCGCCGAAGCGCAGCAGCGCGTTGCGCAGTTGCAGGAGACGCCGAGCGCGGCAACCCAACCTGCGGCAAACCAGGGGGAGGTGCCGCCACTGGAGACGACTATCACTCCGGAGGGCCTGGAGCGGATACTGGCAGTGGCGACGGGGCAAAGTTGGTATGCGGGCCTGACTCGGGCAGAGGTGGAGATCTTCACGGTGCAAGGCCTGAGAGAAGCGACCCGACGGGAGGGCTATCTCTCGTGCTTGTTCTGCAAAAGCAGAAAGAGGCAAAAACTTCTTTTCCAAGGCACCAATGAAGTCCGAAACCACTTCGAGGGCAACCACGAGAGGCCACAGGCAACAGAAGCGCTCCCGCCTGCGGTCGCCGAGGAGATCGGCCAGGCTATGGCCGCGGCGGAGCAGACGATGGAGAAGGCGGGAGGGAGGGAACCAGGACAGCGAGCCGAAAGGGGCGAAAAAGATAAAACTTGGAAGGATATTTTTTTAAGGTAAAAGGTGTATATTTCTTACAGGTGTTTGTGGAGGGGGGGGGGCGCGCCCGCCGTCGCGATAGTGAGGTGGGCGTCTGGGCAGAGCAGGATGCGCGAGATCGCGTGGTTGCAGCGGCAGCGGTGCTCCCAGCGGCACCCCCCGAGCCAACGCTGCTGGACGCAGCTTTGCGCGCCACCGGCGAAATCGCTGACTTCTTCCGCCGGCTGACAGGCATCTTGGGACCGTCCATCTCGGGCAACCGGCCTATGTTGGCGACGGCGCTGAAGGACGCCCATGCGCTGCCCAGCGTGCTGCAGAACGTCGTTCGGCAGCGTTCGGCGCAGGGCGCCACGTGGAACGACCTGACACGGTCGGAGAACGTGGAGTGGGCCGTGCACGATGGATCGGAGGGAGACCCTTTGTACGCGCTGGCTCTGTGCAAGAGGTTCCTATGAGTACGTGGACAGGGCGAGCTTGTACAGCACCATTTTGGTGCGCTTGGTGGTGGACGCGGTCGAGGAGACCGCCAACAGCTTGGACGCCGCAGGGCGGCAGGCCGTGCTCGAGTGCATCTGCCTGCACTTCAATGAGGCCGCCAGGCAGCAGGGTCAGCCGTCGAGGCTTTTGATCGCACTGGGTGGCGCCCGAGCCCTGAAGTTCGACTTGGATCCCACCAACATCGAGCGCCAGTACGGAGGAGCAAAGAAAAGAGTGACCAAGCGGCAGGCCGAATCCGGCGTGGCAGTCGGTCGCTCCAACCGAGTGTTGCAGAGGTTGGAGTGAAGAGCCAGGCCGCAGAACGTCGTTCAGTGGCCAGCGGTCGCTCCGAGCGAGCGTGACCGAGAGGAGCTGCAGAGCGTCGCTCAATGGCTTCGTCTAGCCGGCCGACGCGCCGTTGGAGACGCCCTCGAGCCGCAGAGCGTCGCTCAGTTGCTCTTTGCGGCTCTGGCAGAGTAGCTGCGCCTATCCCCTCGGGATGCTGCGGCGCTCGTGGCACCCAGAGAGAAGAAAAGGAGAGACACAGGGTGTTTGTAAGCAAGCAAGTTAGAGCGGGGCTAGTCGAACCGGGACCCAAAAGGACCCTAGTCAGAGCACACGGGATCGAGGACAGCTGCTTGTGTCCGCGACGCGTCCGCCGTTCGTCGCGCGAGCGCAAGCAGGTGTCTGCCGCGACCGAGAACCACGCAGCAGACCGACGGCAGGAGGGCATGTTTTTTCTTGCCGGGCAGGGGGGTGTTCGAGCAAGAGAGCGTGCGCAGGTGGAAAGAGAGCAAGGGCTGAAGGAAACGGGCATGCGCAGGTATGCCAAGTGTGAAAACAGGGACATGCCCGGACTCCACGCGGTCGACTGCGTCGTCGCCCCAGGAGTTGGTGGGCTGCGCTCTCCGACGGCGCGAGGCGCAGAGAACGCGCGCGCAAGCCGAGAGGGCAAGGCTGCAGGGGTAGAGTGTTGCTATCTTTTGTACCCTTGCGGGCGCGTAGCAACCGCAACCGCGGAGCACGGGGAGAAGCGAGCGTCGCGGGGGCAGAGTGTCTTGCTTGTAGGTTTTTGTTTTGTGTTGGGCACGGTTCGTGGCAGGCGTGACCGTGGAGGTCGATACGTGTGAGCAGGGCGTCGCTCAACCACACCCAGGAAAGCAAGACGGTTGGGGTGAGTTCAAAGGCGGCACGAGCTCCACGGGGCGCAACACACGGCGGCAGCGCGTCGCGCAACCGCGCCCGCAGAGCCGGAGATGTTTTTGAAATGGGACCTTACCCACCCGGTGATTTGTCGTGCAGAAGTCAACGAACTAGTAATTTCTTAAGAGCATCCTTGTTTTGCAGGGATGGCAAACAAGCTAGCATGTTCTCAGATCGTGATCTTGGGTTGCTTACCTGTGGTCACATCGAGGCTACCGCTGCTAGGGCCTTGCGACGATATTTGTGGGATCACGTCAGCATCTTCACTAAGTGTATGTGGTTGATTGGTTGCTTGAGGAACGGGATATGGTGTACGCGTGGACTGAGCGTGTGCTTTCTTGCTTTCTATTTGTAACTATGAATCATGTGTAGGTTACATTGTTGTAGCCATTTTAGCTATCCATACAAGCAAGGTTTCCAGAGGTTTGTAGCCATGTCAGCTGGTACCATCCAGATCGATGACTATGCCTTGACAGGGGAGGCCAACGAGCTCAAATTGGTCTTGCACTTCAGTGATGGAACCAGCCAAACGTGACTTGACCAGATGTTTTATCTATTGTTCAACTCTAATATTCTGTAGACTTTGTTTTTGATGCTTTAACCAACGAAGGTATCCAAGGCCACTACCAAATCCAGATGGTAGAATGAGGTCCAAGTGGGCTGTTGTACACAGTTTGTGTCGCACATCCATGACCGTCATGACCCTGTACAGGGTGTACCAGGCACCAGGCCAGGAGCCAGAGGTCATTGAGTCAACCCAACTTTCTAAGTGTATCCATGAAATTGGATACCAGGAGGCCATACCATTGGTCCACAAGTGGTTCAGCTAAATCTAGCCAGTTTCAGGAAAGATAAAAGTGGTTGCCGCATTCAGTCCGCATTCAGTCTTTGTTGGTGCCATCATGGCATTTCATCACTTTGACATTTCATCAGTGCCGTCGGAGACGCCCTCGAGCCGCAGAGCGTCGCTCAGCTGCTCTTTGCGGCTCTGGCAGAGTAGCTGCGCCTATCCCCTCGGGATGCTGCGGCGCTCGTGGCACCCAGAGAGAAGAAAAGGAGAGACACAGTGTGTTTGTAAGCAAGCAAGTTAGAGCGGGGCTAGTCGAACCGGGACCCAAAAGGACCCTGCGGGGCGTCTGAAACCCTCAAGAAACAGAGAAAACCACGTCTTTTT